TGGACAATGAAATTCACCTCCACTTGCAAGGGCATATCCACATTTCTTATTTTATTAAATCAGGTAGGCTATTTATATATGTTAATGTTCTCTCATGTTTGTTCATCGCAGATATATGACTTTTTTAGTGGCTCAAAACTCAATACTAATGTACAGATGTTTATGAATCAATTTCATGTACTAAATGATCTTATACATAACATAATATGTTTTAACATATTTTCATCAGAAAAAACAGAAATCAACTACACAATGCTAAAAATCTTTAAGAACCTATAGGAGTTGGACCATTCTGGATCCCAATCGACGCACTTTAGATAACTGATAATACTTACAATTGACAAGCATTCACCACAATTCAAGTCCAAATCAAGCAGAGATGTCAAAGTACATGACTTGCATGTTATTGTATTTAGTTGCCTGAGCATTGACAAGCATTCACCACAATTCAAGTCCAAATCATGCAGAGATGTCAATGCTCAGGCAACTAAATACAATAACATGCAAGTCATGTACCATAAACAACAAAAACATACGCATCAGAGCAACTGGAAACTTTGTGAGACCCCAACCCAATATCTGTCAGCATTACGTATACTAACCCAATTTTATATTTATTTAGTTTATACGCTGTGACAATTCCTCTGTAAAATTCTTCGAAGTGGGGAGGTCTTCCCTGTGGGTGTACTGAGGGAGCATTGGATCTGATTTGTTCCAAGATTCATCCAGGATGTGATATTTAGCTTTTAGCCTTAGGTAAAGCACAGCTCTCTACCCAACAAACAGAAATAGCAAGCATTTACTTTGGTTGAAGAGGCACAAATATACTTCAAGAGAAAATGCCAAATATAGAGCACATCATGAACTGAGGCTGTCAAACAAAAGATTAGTTGAACATATGGATATTCGAGTATAAGTCTTACTGTATATGTCTAGTAGATGCCATGTAAACAAAATTACTAAATGAATTTTGTCATGCATTCTTTCAGACATGTCATTTGAAGGCAGTACAGTAGGAAAGTCAGAAGCCTCAAGTATCATGACATACTACCTAACAAGGCTAAAACATTCTCAAGGATAAATATGAATAAGCACAACATTACTTTAGCGAGTCCATAGAGAATTATATTGTAGATACATTATCAAGGCTCCACTATTAGAACTTTTCGAGAATGTTTGCATGCAAATATATCAGTACAACAGCAAAGAGCATATGAGGCCAGAATGTGTACAAAGATGAGCAACAATGTCTTCGTCAATTGAAAAAACCTGCTCGAGGATTGTCTTCACTTAATTGTCCCCATCCACTACTGCCCCTGATGTACTTATCAACAATACCAAACTCTTCATTCTGGGCAATCCTCCGGGCATAGTTCTCAGCTGCAATAGGACCCTTTTGAAGTCTTCTGTAATATATAATTTCCCAAGGCCACAAGCGAGCGGAACCAAAATAAGCTTCCAGAGAAAGATTCTTTTCATTTTCCTCCCGGCACTCCAGACCATAGTGTTTCAGGACCATGAACATTTCCTCTGTGGACATCATTCTCATTGAGTTGGCAACATTTGACCTAGTGGATGTATCAAAATCTCGTGCCAACCCATGCTCCGCCATGAGACTCTCATTTGGAGGTTCCACTATCTCTTTCTGACTGTGCACAAACAAATTATCTGCAACATGATCACCATTGCCTGACTTTGGTGTATGCGATTCTAACACTTCATGTGAACCTCTGGAGACAGATTGATTGAGTGAATCATCCCTCAGGGATAGGTATTTTTCCGTTTCTTCTTCTACCGTAGAGGGTCCTGCTACATACTCATTTTCCATTGCAGCTGACATATAAACACATGTAGCTATATCCCCACCACTATTTGGCAGTTTCTCTGTTTCAAATAAATCCTCATTAAACACAGGACCAGCAGCATTTACCACAGAAGCATTGTGATCTGTATGTCCATTATTTGGAGAGGACGACAGAGGTTTGCCTAGAACTACAGGTCCAGAATGACGTGAAGTTGAAGACCTTGAACAAGAAGATGGGGAACCTTTTTTCAATGGCCCTGATTTGGATTCGGAATGTGATTGAGACCCAGATAAATACCTTAATGGTCTTAAAGGTGACTGATATCTGGATGCAGAATAATCAGAGAGGGCTGAAGACAACGATGCCCCCCTTGCTTTCTTTGATTGACGTCTTTCAAAATTGTCATGACCTCTCCGATCTCGTTTCTTTTCCTCGCTGCCATTTCTTGTACCTCTAGTCATTCCCTTTGCCAGGTTGGAATCACTTTGTCCCAGCAACCTCCGATGATTTCTAGAAGTGGATAGCTCCCTATCACTTTTCTGCTGCCTTATTAAAACATCATTGTTAGCTTGGGGCAGCCTTCCTCGGGACCTGAAAGCAAACCTCTTAAGCTTTCGAGGACACATGTTCATTTTGTGACCCACTTCCCCACATATATAGCAAGCCCTTCTAGATTTTTGATTGTTGGGATGATCTGGAGTTTCCTTACTATCATTTTGTCTAGTTCCTACTCTCTCTATAGACTTCCTTATAGTGGGTGAACCACCCAAATGATTTTGGTCTTCATCCTGCTCCTTTTTGTCATCGCTATGGTAAGGTTCGTAACGGTCAAAAAACAACTCATCCTCTATCCTAGTTTCATTTGACGGATCCACAACCTGCTCTACCCACCTATCATCTTCCATATGGTTCCTTTCAGTGCCTCCTTCATGAAAATCATCCAAAGCAGTATGATCTTTTTCCCTTGCATGGGATTTCACATTTGGATGGTAGGTTGTTTCTTCATCAACCAGGTCAGAAGAATCAAATTTTTTATCTTCACCATCTGTTTGCCTGAAATCCGTATTGCAATCTCGTCGATCATTTGAAGACAATCTTTGATCGTCATTTTCATTCCTAGAATGCCTTCTGCTTAGTAGCTCATACGACTTACCACCTCTGGTAGATCTCTGTAAGGGTCGAGGCTGCCTATTCGACCATGATATCGTTATTGGCTCTCCACAAATTCTCTTACCTCGAAGATTTTTCAGAGCTTTCTCAGCAACTGCAGGGTAATCATAAACTACAAACCCATACCTGTCTTTCACCTGTATAGTACACCTACCAAACCTCCGAAAAACACGTTCAAGGTCATCTCTAGAAATACGAGAAGATAGATTTCCAAGATATAAAGACATCTGTAAGCCAGAGTAATGAAGATCACGTCACATGCATTCATGTACACAAATACAAAATATACATGGAAAGACATCACTTATAATGTACATATACAGAAATATATAAACACATACATATGAACAAATGAAAAATAAATATTCATTTCATAAACAGTTATGATACTCCAAATAAAATAAATAACCTGATGCACTAAGTGGAAAAAGGTATAAGCAGCTGCTTGATATTGCGTTTTGAAGAACTTCAGCTAAATAGCTTATATAATCTATAGGAAAATGAGCTAGCATGTCAGCATTTACAATCCATATCATCCTATTCACAAAAGAAATGGTAACATAGGTAGATACAAGACAATTTTACAGACAATCTTATATAAGTACATGTTTCTGTGATCCATAAGCACCATAAAATCTTCTTCGGGACAGTTATAGATCCGCCTATTATTAAGAGACAGTTCAGAACTTAAAAATGAAAACAAGAATATTATTGTTTTCATTATTCCAAGTTGAAAGCCCGGATTCCTGGCAGGTAATCAGAGTCACAATATTCATGCTTTTTCAGAAAATGAAAACCTAGCCTTAAGAAAAAACTTTGAGAGTAAGAAAGAGCAACTAAACTCAAACACCAAGAGAAACTCTATTTTTCCTTCTTTTAATCCAAATTTTAAACTGCAAAATTTCCTATCCCAAGTATTTTCCCAAAACTGACGTTAATTACACAAACAAAGAGACGTATATGAACAAGAACCAGATGCTGAAGTCAAAACCCATTTAGATTGAGCTCAAGAAATGAACATCTGAAAAAAATCCCCCCTTGATTAATGATTCCCGGGAAAAATTAAAAAATCATGATGAACAGTAATGAATAACTTTCAGACTAGAATTGTGATGTGGTGAAGAAGAAAAGAATCTATTCGGAAGTGTACATTACCTAGAAAAGTTGATCTCGATTAGCAATCG